GGGACCAGAAACACCTTTTGGGACCAGAAACGCCCCTGGGACGTGTCTTTAAGCCGAACTTCCTCATGGCAGAGCGCCCCCCAATCCCCCTCCCTCCCGCTCTGCGACTCCGGCAGGCTACATGCTGAAATGGGCGTGACCAAAGTGGATGGATTTTCTTAAAGAGACAGAGACCTATTTCAAGGCTTTTAGAAACTGTCAAGATGAGAAGTAAATTGTTTTGGGGATTTTTACAAATATCTATCTCTTTCATAAACTGAAAATGTGACATAGTTACTTTATTTAAAAATAAAAGATAAGCTTTATTGTATGTCCCAAAGGTGACAGAAAATTGTCTTTGACAGGGCTCCATGTTAAAAACATACATTTAAAAATAAGTCAAAAAAGCAAACATCAATGACACTAAGTACTATAATAAAAAACCCATATCCACACAAAACAACCAAATTTAAAACAGTCCTGAAATGGGGAGGGGTGGGTGTAACTATGCAGCCTTGTTTAGTAGAGTAATTGCAGAAGGCACAAAGGATTTTTTTGTAGATATTTTTCCTGGCCAGGAAGTATAAAATTAGTATAAAATTGAAATATAGGCTTGGAAAGCACATAATATCGCCCCTTTAAAYTTACATTTTGTAATTCCTTTGTTAWAGTTTAGTTTAAAGTACATGTGACGTCAATTTTTTGTAATACGTATGAATGCGTTTTTGAAAAGATGTCATTGACAAAATATTGCTAAAGAAATTTCATGTCGTTGAGATGAACAGTTGTTGAGATATTTGCCTGTAAAGTAACAGGAAGTGATGTCAAAATGGAATGTCTGAATGTGAACAGAGAATTGCTTCAATGGCCAACAACACAGACTGTAGAGAAGAATCTGATGTTTCTTAAGATTATTTTGAGTCACTATCAGAGAGAGGAAGAAGAGTCAGACTTCAAATAATTTTTTTTCAACAAACAAAAGACCAGAGAAGAAAAAAATTGTATAGGTCTTCTGGACGGGTTCTTCTCTAATGAAACGTTTCGTCTCTCCTCCAAGAGACTTCTTCAGTCTGAGAGTTTCA